CAGAATGTCCAGATTCCTCCTGTGGCACTCCTTGGCTGTCATTCCAGGCACCACAGCTTGGTTTTCACAGTGTCTGTGTTCACAGCACATACTCACAGGTATTTAATACACTCTCTTACACTACCTTACCCTCAGACTTTCCACAGTACTCACTAGCTCTGTGGATGTAATTTTCATTTCTGTCAATGGAATGTATGAAAGGAATATAAAAGGGGCCATAAAGAACCACAATGCTGCTTGGAGACAGAAGTCTTGCCCAGGGTGAACAGCTTTCATTAGAGGGAGCAGGAAGTGCAAACATGATGTCAGAGCTACAGAGATTATCTGTATAAATGGTGTTATCATTTAACCCAAACAAACAGCAGGGAAAGGCTCACCCCCTCCCTTTGAAGACAATGGACAGTTACTAAATTGGACTTGTAATGAAAGCCATTTTCAGTGAAACACAAGATATGTGCAACAGTTGGTCCAGAAATGAAAATCTGTTATAACAGCCAAAAGTCAAAGGCAGCTATAAATACAGGCCTTAATCTTTTCAAGAATCCCTTAACGAAGCCTATAAAACTGATTGTATCTTCAGGCCTAACTCAAGTGCAAATTCTTACTCAGAAAAATGTAACAGCCCTGCAAGTATGACTTGGAGAGCAGTACAGGGACAAGGAAGGAGAATACAGAGTGCATGCTCATCTCTTGGAATACAAATTACATTGCATTAAGAATAAACAATTAATGAGACAGCAGAAGCCTCAGCTACAGGTCCATTTTTCTGAGAGAGAAACAATTTCCAGAAGTGGTCAGAGCGGGATGCAGAAACACTGCATCTTTCCTTTTAACACAACAGAAATGCTCTTTGATTATTTAAAAGCCAATTGCAAAGATCTGTCTTCAAAACCTCCTATTGCAGGTTTAATAGCAAAGAGGTGCAAGTACACTTACCAGCAACACGGGAGTAAAGTACAGACTTTTGTTTTAACAAAATCTATATTTATACGATTACATTTCCTATGGTTGAGGGCAGCTGTAATTAATGGATTTCCCTCCTTCCCCTAATGCAGTCATTTGTCAATTTAAACACAGAATGCCCAATCAATTTTGATGTATTTAGTAAGCAATTTGTCAGAGTACTGCACACCAGTTAATATATTAATTCTTGTCACTGGCCCACTTCTGACAACTGTAGGCTGTGTCCATGAAATTGGTCCTGATGAGCCAAAAATCTTGCTTGGAATGTGAAGGTGCCCTTTGCAGAGCCAGAGGAGAGAAATCAGATCTCAATCTATTCAATGTCTTTTTGGGGCAGTTTTTGGTCAATTTTAGGGGGTTTATTCATTAATGTGTTAATTGGCCACGTTTCAGATATTGCCTCTACCTTCCAATAGAGAAGTGAATTCAGAGTGGAGAGATGAGGAAGAAAGGAAATAAATATGAAATTAGGATGTCAGACTTTCTGGTGATGCAAAGTTATCTATTTCCATGGCAATTCCATTATGTGCCATGAACGTGACTGTGTCAATTCAAACATGCAAACAACATGTGAAAGGTACAGAAGTCACACAAAGGAAACAAGGGATAAGTCAGGGAAATGTGCAAAACTTCAGGGCCTGGTGAAAGAGAGGAAAATATTCATTTGAAAGAACACAAGCAGGATATTGTCATGGACATCTTAACAGCATCCTCAGGAGTTTATATAACCCAAAGCACCTTAATTCCTAAGTAGCAAACAGCAGGAAGAAGGCAGAATTAAAAGACTAATTAATGACAAAACTTGGCAATTCTGTGGAGAAAGCTCTAACATTGCAAGTTCCTGTGGACACCAAAACCCTCCTGTGCACACGTGCAGGGCTTGGCACAACTTTCCTCCCACTGCCAGGACAGTTTAACTCCACCACATGATGCTATTTATGTTATAGCAAAAACATCTAGGAAGAATAAAATGTGACTTAGATTCCCTTCTCTGGTGGTTAGATTTGGAAGTTGCTCAGGACACAGGTGAATAAAGAGGGAATATTAGAGACACAAATAAGGTAGAATACTATGTATTAAATGTGAGGAGTGAAGAGAAATATCTGATACCTAAAACCCAGCACTGAAAACCTGAGGATTGTCATTAATCCAGGGGTCTGTGGGATGGACTCACGGGAACAAGTGAGCCTGGAATCTGCTCTGTCAGAAGGAGCTCTCAGGACTGGAGATACTCTCTCTGACCCACTGCAGAGTTTGCAGCAGGATCCTGACACTTCCTGCAGGCCAGCAGGTTGTGGAATTTAGCATGCAAGCTCACTTTCAAGCCATGAACTTGGAGAAAGCTGTAAACCCCTCACTTGCCACTTTCTCACCTGTGCAGCAGCCTGAGCTGTGGTAATGTGCTCAGGTAGACACGAGCTGCACACATTGATGCAGGTTTCTGCAGCAGATGTCACAGATGACCTCAAAGCAAGAAAACAGCTGTGCTGATCCACTTACAAATACCCTTGGGATAAAGGTCTTGGACACTTGTTGTACAAAACATTTCTTCAAACAATGGTTCCTTGTTCCTTCCTTTCTAGCTGCAAATAAAACTTTCAGATTCTTTAAAAATATTAAAAGCTGAACCATGTGTTGATAACCTAAAGCAGGATTTTTTGAATATTCTCTATTTAGCACAAGAAGTCACCGGCCTGGTTTATATTTTTCAAAGACTAAGGAAGATTTTGGCCCTGTGTTTTGGCATCAAACCTCTTATTTATGAAAACCTGGCTGTGCAGCCCTCCAAGCAGCCTGCCAGACGTCTCATTGTTCTGCCCGGCTGCTGACAGAGGTACTCTGTGCTAAAAAGCACACTGAGGGTTTTTCAATGACCCAGGGGGCAAAGGTCACTTATTATAAATGGATAATGAGACCTAATGCAATGTTCTGAGTGTGGACAAAGAAAGGGTCTATCCATACCCCCTTGTGACTTGGTCATTCAGGCTTTTATTTCCCCTGCACACTTAATGGAGCCAAACAATCGGCAGAAATGCTATACAGAAACGGAGAGAAACTGCTGCATTCTACCTCCAGAGACAGCTACAAATAGTGACCCTGAAACGGCGCCAGGCTCCTCTCACACTGACGTGGCAGACAGATGGACCAGCCCCCCTCAGCCCCGGCTGAGCCATTTGCTGGCAATTAGAGCCCCCCGAGGAAGAGAGCACAGCAAAGGCAGGCTGCGGCTAAAGGCAGCCCAGGGCAGAGCTGCAGGTAAGCAGAGCCTGAGCTGGGCTTAGGAGCTCTTTAACAGGTGGCTTTTGTGGGAAAGATGCGTGGACTCCATTGTTGGGGACTTCACTGAGGAGCTTCAGCCTGAATAAATCCAGAAGACAAAAGTTCAAAGATAACCAGACACAAATTTCACTGTTATTGCCATTTGAATGATGTCCTTTAGATATTCTGATGTCTTCTATTATTCTTTCCATTTCACATCCAGCTTAAAGAATTCCTAATATATGAATTAAAATCTGAGTTAAAAGTCTAATAATTCTAATAACACAAGTTCTTTAATTGGCCGCGTTTCAGATATTGCATCTACTGTGCAATGGAAAAATAAATTCAAAGTGGAGAGATGAGGAAGAAAGGAAATAAATATGAAATTAGGATGTCAGACTTTCTGGTGATGCAAGGTTACCTATTTCCATGGCAATTCCATTATATGCCATGAAGGTGACTGTCAATTCAAACATGCAAACAACATGTGAAAGGTACACAAGTCACACAAAGGAAACAAGGGATAATTCAATCAAATATGCAAAACCCCTTTAAGTTCATTAATTTACTGGAATTTAGCTACTACTCAATCTCCTTTCTTTAAAAAGTTTTCAGTACTAAACGATTTGAAATACATTGTATACTGTACTGTGTAACAGTATTTGAGCTGTTAATAAAACACACAATACTCATCTCTGGTTTCACTATGTGGGATAGAAGTACAAGTGAAACAAGGCAGGAATCTAGCAAAAAAAATCCAGCCAAAATGCAATCTAATGGTGCTGTGCACTGCCAAATACTTTTTCATATTCTTTTGTGCCCTTTGAGTCTTATCCCAATTTTCTGTGCAGCACAGAAGAAGGAAGACTCAAACTTTGCAGGTTTCCATAACTCTCAGATGCAGCAGATGGACAGGTAGAAGCAGCAGATCCAATCTGGCACCAGTGTCCCTTTCACCAGTCCCATCCAAAGAGCCTCCTGGCCCACATGGCCACTTGGTGCATCTCAAGTGCCCCTGTCACATAAAGCTGCCTGCACTGACAACTGTGCACAGCTCTGGTTTCCCCTGGAGAACCTCACCAGATGCCAGAGCTGCTCCCTTGTGAGACTTCAACTGCTGCATCACTTTGATGCTAGGCAGAACAGAGACCTGCTCCTCACTGTTAGCACTCCTCTCTCTTTTAAATAGTCAAATAAAAGAGAAATACTCATTTTTCTACAAAACCATTATAAAATTGTGTGGGTTTGTATTATAGATATATCACATATAGAGAGCTATAGGTGTATGAATGTTTCTGAATATGCCATGCCATGAAATATTGGCTCTCTGGGAATGTGGCTGGGCAAGACACAGGCCAAGGCAGGTGGGCAAACATCCCTGGCAGCAGTGCCAGGGCTCCTGAGGGAGGCAGCTGTCTGAGACTGTGGCTGGAAGGAGCCCAGCAACCAGGAGTTCCCAGGGAGAGGGAAATGCAGATGCACTCATTACTGGGTATGGAATTCACGGGAGGAAATGGCTAAAAGCATGAGAAGGAATGAGGTGAGGTAACCCTGAGGATTTCATGGGATCTGGTGGATGATTCTCACAGCCCCACAACTCTGATTCACGGCAAAAATCCCAACACTACATTCACTGCTCCATCCTTACGAACAGAGTTACACACAACCCTACTGTGGGGTTGAACACCCACTGAAATTGGCTGAAAAATCAACTTGGAAAATCACCCTCTGCTCAAAACGTGCACATGAGACAAGACAAGAAGTTGTCAGCTACTCACAGCCAGCCAGAAGATACTGGTAGTACTGCACAGCATCTGCAGCCAGGAGCAGTGGATGGTTTGCATTAAATGGTGGTTGGAGTTCATTCCACTGAGGAGTTCTGAGGTAAAACACAAGACTATTAATATTTCAGCTAATACAGAGAATGTAAATCAGTGTTTCTGTCATCACATGCAATTATCTATACAAGCTCACAAAATGTTTGTAATTATTTAAATTAGCTTGTTCAAACACTGCAATCCACCACAGGCAGTGGAGCAGCAGGGCCAAATCGTGCAGATTGTGAGGCAAAGACAATACTTGGTTGTTGACTGCAGCAGGGATTGCATTAAAAAAAACCCAGGAAGGAGGTTTAGATTAAGTTGGTAAATATGTTTAGGACCATTGTGTGTCATGCTGACGTTATATAAACACACAAGAGAAACTGGGGAACTTTTTTGTTCTGTTAACTACCACTGCTTCCATCCTGTGAAGTCATTGAGCACTTACTGTGAAAATAAAGCTGTGTAAAGTTATGGATTATTGATCCAATTAGAATTTTCAATTCCATTACAACCTACTCATTTCAACAATAATGGTCCCGAAGTCTGTGTTGTAATTTTAATTAGGGTGGACCATTCCTAAATAGCTTGGTAAATCAAGTATTGATCACTCCAGTCCAGCCATAAGCAGCACTAAGGAATGTAGGAGCCAAGAAAAATCGATAGAAAAATATTTTAAAACGTCAAAAGCACTGACAACACTTTCTCATCAATTTTTCTTTACTTTCTTCCACATGTCAGGAATAATTTCTTCTACTGTCTTTAGAAATGGTACCTTCAGCTGCTCACAGGAAAACTCACAATGCTTCATTGTGGGAACCTTGCTCATGTCTCACAGCAGAATTCTGTACTTCAACACTACCAAAATAATCGTTCCTAGTCCTTATATAAAAAGAAAATTACAACCTGATCATTTAAAATCACCAATTAATAAGGATCTCTATTGATTCACAGCCATGCTCATGCCTAGCTCCACGTGTAGAGAAGGATTTAGAAGCTCAGTTCCCTTTGAGGCACACGAACAGTGACAGAACTGTATGGAAAGCAAAGCTTGAATCTCTCTCCTCCAACAAAAACCTTTAGGAACCTTTACATGAGTGACAAGCACCATGCAGCTCATTCAAAAAGAAAGATCCCAAGCATGAAAGGAAGGCAGAGTCACAGGGATGAGGTACCTAACCAAAGTCCAGCTGGCCCTGGGGCAGGTGACCATCTCCAGGGGGGTGTCGTCGCTGATCTTGGGCGCGGTGCTGAGCGGCCGCGGCTCCAGGACGTGCTCCACCAGGCTCCCGTAGCAGCTGATGATGTACAGGGACTCCACCACAAACTGCTTGGACTGATCTGGGGGCAGAAAGAGAGAAAAAGCTTATTGCAGCAGCACAGCAGCAACGGGAAAAGCTTTGGCAGAAATAGCAGGCTCTGTGTTCTTTTAAGTCTCTTGCTCGTAGATAAGAATGTGAATTGAAAGTAGCAAAAGGGCTGGAGAGACAAAGAGAAAATTGTACAAAACACACAATTTTCATACAATTGGAAGAATATCTCATACAAGAGAAGTTTCTCACCAAGGTGTGTTCTGGTGATTACACATTTCCAAACATATCTTTTACATTTGCTTTGCCATTTGCTTTTGCTTTGCCTTTAGCAAAGGTGTTTCATCTTTATCTCTTTTTTTTTCAGTGTCACTTCACACCTTTGGACTGACCTATCAAAAGCTGGGTTTCTGTCACTGTATCACAATAAAAGATCAATTATTCATTCCACTAATTAAAATTTCTTGTACATTTTACCAAAAGCACCCCCAAGCATGTTCCTGAAATTCCCGATTGCCCCTGAGTTTAAGAAACAAAATCCACAAATTGCTTAGAACCTGTCACAAAATAAGAATTTAAGTTTAAATGCAAGTCCTAATTCTGTGAGGTACCAACCTTTTTCTCGTTTGAGGCCGGAATTGTTTGCAAACCATGACCTTGAAGCTCCAAAGACTGCAGCGACACAAAACTCCCCTCCCACAGACTTACTGGGTGAAATCTGTGGAGCTGGTTTGGATTTGCTTTAAAGAAAGAACAAAATAAAATTATATCAGTTAATTCTCAAAAAATTAAGATGTTCCTTGCTTAACAACAATTTTAAGATATTACTTCAGCAAAGGGGAATATCTGCAGATCCCACAAGGCTGAGCAGGATTTGCAGATGCTCAGTGTTTCCCAATAACAGGTCCCAAATTCCCCTGGAATATTGAACTCATTCACTTGAAAAACAGCACTGGCTCATAATGGAGAACTGAATTGTTTAAAAGACCCAACACTGAACATTTGCATAAAATAGAAACAACTTCTGAAGTAAATACAAAGAAATCCTAAATCCTTTGGGAATGAAAATACAGATTCTGGGTCAGCCATTCCAGGTCGAGATCTCCTTGTCTTTTCCAAAGGAAGTCAGGAATAGCCAGGGGATGTGAGTGACACAGGGTGGCAGGGAAGGACATGCAGAGGGTACAGGAGAAGGAAAGGATGCAGACACTCATGAGCCACTGTTAGAACACAGCAGGAATTCTGTCATGGAAAAGCAGACTGAGGCACTGTGCCCTGAGCCCACGATGTGCATGGAGCAGATCCAGGGGGTGAGGATGTTCACTGAGACATCCTGAGGTGCTTCTCCTCACAGGGACCTGCAGGTTTCTGCTCTGCAGAGCTCAAAACTACGGGCAGAGCATTGTCCATGCCCCAGTTCATTAAATCAGGATTTCACCCTTTCCTCAAGACAAAAGCTGTTTGATGAATCCATGCAGGATTCTTCTTTCTTCATGTTCCCCTTGTTCTAGTCCTTTCCATTGAATTATTTTATATTTTTCTTTCTACTCTATTTCACTGCTCCCTTCTCTTCCTACCCATCCCTCCTTTACATTTTTTTTTCTACCAATTTCTTCTCCCACACAATTTCAGCCTGTGATCAGACCATCCCATTAACCTGGTTCTTACATAACAATCCCCAATTCTGAGAAGTGTGTGCACAGGTATATGGAATTCAACACTAGAAGAATATTTTTAAACAGCAGAAATCAATTAAAACACTGCATGGTTTTAATGATATTTAATTTATACTAACAGATCATACACATGGCAAGCCTATGGTCACATGGACTTGGATCAAGCTGAAACTCTTGTACATGTGGGAGAAGCTGGAATGTCCCAAAAGAGCAGTTGGAATTTATAGTCAGTAACTCTGGTATTGAACCACCACAAAGCACTTAATATCCAACTGTTAAACCTACAGCTACAGATGACTGGGTCAGAAATCTGTGTTCCAAAAAGATCCTGCCTATAAATGTATTCCCTTGCTTGCAGTGGCACATCATATTTCTATATTAGAATATTTAAATTGTGATTGTGTTAATTAATAAGTTTTTATTAGTTACTTAGAAAAAAAATCAGAATGGATTTCTTTCACTTTGAAATAATCATCTACCACAGAAAGAGTATTTTTAACCTAACTCTATCTTGAGAATTATTTTAGCTCTCACTTTTCAAGTATTCACATACTCATATTCCTTCAGAAATGAAAACACAAATGTGTCAGTGAATTAGTGTCTTGTTGCTTACTTCAATTAATAAATTATGGGATTTAATACAGAATTCAGGACAGTGTCACCCATCAATCACTACAGAGCAAACCAGGAGCACAGGTACGACTCTGCCACATTCACTTCCTCTTGACAAAAGGATCTTTCTATACTGTCGTATATTCTTAATATTCTCAGTTTTTACTGAACAAATTCTGAGGTTATTAAAATTATTTTTCAAGATTAATGAAGTAATTTCAAATGGAAAAAAAAATTGGAAACAACTGCTATTCTCAGCTACAAACTAGAGTAAAGTTCTAAGGAGACAGAATTGCCTTCAAGCCTTGAAGCAGAAGTGAACCTGGGACTCAACACATTTTTCCAGAGTCCCCAGACCTGTGTTCAACCAAATACAATTATAAACAGCCTTAGAGGAAATGGTCTGAGCTCAGTTCTATTTACATCTTGTCTTTAGGATGTGCATCTTTCAAGGCAAGCACTTAAGTGTTGGTTTCAGTGCCAGGAGCTTTTCCCTTCGAGGATGATGTTGTGTAGACAGAAAGAGCAGACCTTGTAAAACACGATTACTCATGTGGTTAAACTCAGCCCTGCTAGCAAACAAAGACAAGCAAACAAACAAAAAAGATTTGTGCATCTTATTGGTTTGGACAGATTTCTGAAAATGCTGCTGAGATGTCAACAAGTCTATTTTGAAGTCTCTTGTAGCTGAGGAATCTTTCATTTGAGCATCATTTTTCTCGATTCCTGAGTTTTCATCAATACATTCCAACACAAATTTCATTCCTCCAGCAAACCTCCAAAGCCCAGTAATTTTCAGTAACAGTAATGTCATTAGAAAAATATCTTTACATGTCACTGGGATATTTTAACAACTTGGAAACTATAAATCCTCACTATTCTGCAGATGCAAACACCCTCTCAGCTTTATAAATGATAACAAAACAATAATGTTGAAGGTAGGTGGTGAATGACTTGTTTCTGCTATGAACTCCTGCTCTTGCCTTGCTCTTGGCTTGTCAGCACTTCATAAATTATTCCAAGAGCTGAAATTTAGGCACATTTGGCCTCACTTTTACAAAACAGTTACTTTAAAAGAATTTTCATCATACAGTAACTTCCAAAAGATTGTACCATAGTTTTCCTGAGAAGGGATGCAGCAAGAAATTCAGATTTTTGGGAGTCAATGCTAAAACCAAGACAGTGAAGCACACAGGACCAAAACATTCCCCATTATAATTTCACTCCTCATTTCTCCTAAACATTAGGAACAACAGCATTGCATTTAAGACATCAGGAGGATGAAAAGGCAGTTTACTTTTTCCTCTCTGGATCTACACCACTGTGCAACCACACCTGGGATTCAGTGAGACACAGCAGTAGTTTCAGCCCAGTTAGATCTGTACAGAAATCTAAATCAGGAATAGAATGTATCTGGGGAAATTTGTATTATTATTAAATGTTCTAACATAATTTTGGAGGATTACTTCTTCTTAAATGCAAAAGCACCAAGATGTAGATACAGACTTGGCCAACTGACATTCTCTATTGAAATGGCACAAAAGGAGATGGGAGGAAACTGAAGAAGAAAATGAAGACATCACTTTGTCAGAGCTTAAAAAGCAATGAAGAGCCTGAGCTCAGCATGTGAGTTCTTTCATGTTGCCAACACAGTAAGAACAGATTAAGACCTACTGAAACCATTCAGAGCTCCCACTTGTTGACTTTGTAACGCATCAAACTCTGCCATAATCTCTGGAAATGCATTGTGGTAGCTCTTTGTAAAAACACTAAATAGTTACTAATAATTTAATTAGTTTACATACTAACTAAATATTATTATTTAACTAGAAAGAATTAATACACAAAATATTTTAAAAACCAGAGCAGCACAGTTCATGATGGAGCTTTATGTCTCACAAAATTCTTCTGGCTCTTAAATGTATCCTTAAATCTATTGTCAAACAAGTGACATGAATTTAAAACAATAAATAAATTGTATATATGTGATATGAAGGAGCTGCCTTATATATATTCAAATATTTATAGTCAAATAGTACCAGTCTGCAAAGATTTAAAATTGCTTTGATTTTATATTCCCAACAAATATATAGGCTCCAAATATATGAGATTCATAAAAACAAAAGCACTTATGCCACTCTACACCCACTGAAATGGAAACATTTATGACTGCTGATGGAAAAAGTTTTATCTTGACTACATAAGCAGCAACAAAAGTATCAGGAGAAAAATACTGCACGGAATTTGCATTTACACACAAAGTTACAAAAAAAAAAAAAATCTGTCTCAAAGTCCAGAAATTTTAATTCATTTATCATTGTGCCTAAAATGTGAAAACAAAGATGTTTCCAGTTGTCAGATCATGAATAAAGCAAGAAAAAGCACGAAAAGCAATGGTAGGATCCTTTATTCACCAGGCACTTAGCTGTCAAATCAACATCCAGTTTGTTTACAGAATTTTAGGTCTCATTAAGACCTTAATGGAAACAACATGATTTCTTCCCCCACCCAAAGTGTGTTTTTTATCCTAATTTCTCTGTAGACGAGTAAGGACCATATTTCTGAGCTAGCACTGGCATTAAACAAACCACAAAAAGAGTCTTGTGAAAGACAGGCAACAATTTTGGAGGCTATTTCATATATCCCCCTCTTTAATCTCAGCCTTTTAATCTTTCTTCAATCTAAAACCATTGCTGGTTGACAACGTCTCCTGCTTCGTGCAGGGGTGACCCACACAGCCTTTGCTCAGAAATCCACTGCCAAAACTCTTCTTCCAGAGCCTCTGCACTTCTTAGATGACCACCAGGCAAAATTCTTTGGTGCACCATAAACTGCATTTAGAAATGGTTCCTAGGGAGGTACTTCAGGAGTTGGAAATTCTCCACAAATATTTCTCCTCCCAAATCCCTCCTCAGTTTTTCTCTGGGAATTCTGTGTCCCACAAAGCTCTTAACAAGTTCTTTTCCTGAAGAGAATGTTCTGATAGAGACATTGAGGGTGATACACATGGTGCCAACTTCTAGAGCAAACCCAAGAGCCACGTACAAATATTCTAACAGATACTGGTGGGCATAGTTAATAGATACCCTTAGCTAAATTACAAACAAAGAGAAAATCCCAAAGCCACAGAAAAATCCCAAAAACCCAAGCCCCAGAAACTTCTTGATGGAAGTTTTAAAATTTTCTAAGATTCCTGTTTCTTCCATTCTTATTATCCAAAACTTCCAGCATCTAAGCCCAATCCTGTTATCAAGTGGTGACTGAGGTGATGCAGCACTGCCCAAATACTGAACCAAACTCCAACATCAAAAATCTTGTTAAAACTTGCTTTTTCTCTTGTCTGCATTTTTTCACATTAAAATGAAAGCCCCTTTTATTTCAAATATCCCAGTTTTAACAGATCTGTTTCCCATGTTGGAACGAGATGATCTGGAAGATCCCTTTCACCTCAGACAGTTCCATGACTTTTTTTCTCCAGAGTAATCAGCTTTCTTTTTTTTTTTTTTTTTTCCAGTACCCATTTTACTGCTTCACCTCTCACTGCAGTACTTTACTGCCTACTCACTGCTAATCTGGCTTATTTTTCAGAGGTCATCATCGATGTTTTCTGTCTGTAAGCAACTTAGTGCTACAATAATAAAGGAAGCAATATAGAAAAAAAAGAGAGAGGCTTGTTTGGAAAGACATTGCAATCATTTCTGCCCACTTAGAAATAATTTATTTTTTCAACTTCCCTGCTACTTAAAAATTAAATGCACTCTCAAAGGTAAAAAGAAGGGGAAAAAAAAGTGAATTCAATTCTTTGCAATGCTTGATGGTGAACACGCATCCATAGTTTAAAAGTGAAATTATGTGCATGGAAGCCTATGGATCAGCCATGCAGGTAAACAAATGAAAACAAAAAATTAATCCAAAATTAAAAAGTCTAAGCACAGAGTTATTTTCAGCAAGGACAGCAAATGGAGTATAGGCATGCTGGGTTTGAACTGGGAACTCACCAAGGAGCTTTTATGGAAAAACATCCTGCTCCAAACAGGTAAGGTCTTCACGGAAAGGGGAAAAATGCACAGAAATTAGATGAGAACTCAATTCCCAACAAGTACACTGTACATCATGCCATTAAGATTTATGCAGAAAGTGAACAGAATCGTTGTTAGAGCCCTTGCTGATGGCCTGGAGGAGCTGCCAGGGGAGCAGCAGTGCCCAGGGCACGGCCCCAGAGGTGGCAGCTGCCGGGAGGGCTCCGCATGCCGCGACACGCAGGGACATCGGTGCAAGCTGGGCTCAGAGTTAGAGCTGGGCTTAGGCTCAGCTCAGGGCCCCCCTCCAATCTGCTGCCAAAGCTGCGGCTGCAGCAGATGCTGAAGTCAGAACTGACAGGAAAAGGGAATTAGCATCCAAATCAGTCGTTGGTGGGGGTTTTCCATGGAACACTGAGGGGCTGAGTGGGGCACTTTTACAGAGTTACTGAGAGGAGGGCAAACAAAACCAACAGGTGCAATCAGAACTTTTAAGAACAATTATTCAGCCTTTTTCTAGGACAGAAACACCCCATAAAATTCAACTGTTTGACCCAGAAATCTTCTCCTCCCCCTTAAAAGCTTGCACAGATGCAGGAAAGAGAGGCCTAACTTAGTTCAAATGCATTTGATGCTCAGTCACCAGATCTAGAGCTGAGTGCTTTTGGCCACCCAACAATTTACACCATGATTTGATTTCATGTTTTCTTCAAGTATTTTGCACAGTGGAGAGTTTTTAACCTGATATTAATCTGAGGGAATTTTCAATGGATATCTCTCTTTAAAAAGCCATTGCCATAGTGACATTTGCATAAAATCTGAAAAGGAGCAAAAGGAGGGAAATGTAGAGCTACTCAAAAGCTCAAGGCTTCTTTTGAGTCTCATTTGGGATGTAATCATCCACAAAATCACTAAATAATTGATTTTGTAAATGCCAATGGTTCTGTTTTCTTTTCATGCTCTGACTCAGCAGTAAGTTCTGGGTAGTTGAAACAGGTGAAATATTTCCAGGCAATGAATTACCAGAAAAGGTCCAGCACTGAAGGATGTATAAAGCACTCAGCCATAGACCAACACAATTAAAAGGATACCAGCCTGATAAAAAAGAATTCAGTGAACTAAATCTGACACGAACACAACACCAATGAATGAAGGCATCCTCTCAAAAAACATTCAGGTGAAGGTACAAACCTAAGACAAATATTCTTCAACATGCAAAGATGCAAACATCCAATAAAGAACAGAATATTACAGAAAAAAATTCCTATTTTTAATTAGTACTATAGGCCAAAAAATCTATTTTTTGAGCTTCATGTAAGGGATTGGCCTTTAACTTTCTGTATTTAATAAACTGGTTAACATTTTTGGGGACAGAGCTCATTTGACAGAACCAACCACCCTTCTAGACCTAATATATCATCTTTGAACAGTGGTAAAACCCAATTAAATTGTCTGAACTGAATGATCTCCTATAAAGTCAGCACATCCAGTCCCTGAGTCAAAGGCCAGTCTAGAAGATGAGTCCAGCACTATTGCACTGCTTAAATATTTAATTGAAAGCTAAATCTCCTGCATAAACCAAAGCCAACATAAGTTAAAACCTGGAATGTATCGAGTGTAAATTTGAAGAGTCATTGGAGAGTGGTCAGATCTGCCTGGGAGTTTAGAACTCAATTTCTAAATGATGATCATGGATGTTTTGGACACTATTTCTTTTTCTTCTTCTCTGTCTCAGTTGCTCTGTCTTCAAACCTCAGGCAAATAACACCTAGCTGAGCCCATTAAACATTTCAGAAGACAACACTGGCTTTTTCTTCTCCAACTACTCCTATATTGATCTGATTGTACTTTCAAATTAACAAATTCTCTTTATTTTAATTACAAACTGGCCTAGGTGGGCTTCAACTGAAGGTTTTGTTTGGTTAGTTTTGGATAGAAAATGGATGGAAATGGACAGAAAATTTTGTATCATGAAGAAAACATAATTACACTTGCAAAGACTACAGCAGAGTCTTATTAAAATGCTTTATGTGTGAGAAAACCAACTTAGTGCCTCCTTTCTGCTCCAAAGACCTGATTTCTTTAAAGACAACCATTTTTTCCCTACGATATTTATATAAGCAATTGTTTTCCCCTATCTCCTTCACATAATATAGATGGAATGCTAATTGAGAGCGAGAGAGAATTCACAAATTACAGGATAACCCAACCTTGAAGAGACAGCACCAGATGGCTGCGCTCGGTGACAGCAAGAGAGCAGTGCCAGGGCAAAAACTCACCCAGGTTCCCCTTTCCCAGAGCTAGGGAGAAATTCCAAAGGAAATCATGCAATGAAGATGATTTACCATTCAAAGTTCTGAGAGAATTTTCACTGTTTCTTACCTGATTCTGAGTTTCAGCAAATTGAAAACTGAAATACTTTGATTTTGTGTGGTTATGTTTAGTAAACCTATTCAAGCTTTTAATAAGCTGTGCAATACCCATTTATTCTAGCCTTCATCATGCCAAATCAAGAATCCTTTCATAATCAGTGACATCTGACCAAACTTCAGTGCAAATAATTGAATTTTGTATCAATTACAAATCATTACAGCAGTTGCTTTGTTACTAAAATACATTATAAAAACTAAAAATGATACAAAATATGTCTGAGAAACGTGCCAGAAAAAGAATGTCTGGCTTCAAACAATTGTGCTGAACTCTTTAGCTTCACTATTTTCTTCTCTACATTTTCAGTTCTTTTTCCTAATGAATTGTACCTTCATGTGGTGATTTTGCACCACCCATTTTTGTTTGCTGCAATTGCTGACTGTGGGATAAATGAAGCTCCCTGAGACAAAATAAGCCCAAGATACATCAGTGACTTTCTGTGCATAGAAAATTAAAATGATAAAATTGCATCAGACACTTTACCTACTTCCCCCTTCCTGACTGAGGGTGGAATGAGGGACGGGGTGAAGAAGGGATAGAGTTTCATGTTTGAAAATACGCTATCTAAATTTCTTGGCTGGAAAAAAAGCAATGTTTACCCTTTTGCTGCAAGGCACACTGGATTTCTGTGTTTTGACCAGGCTCAGCTAATGCAGGTTCCATCCTGCTGCTCACTCCAGCAAGGATGATCTGGGGAGTGGAGTATGATACAAATATAATGACCCTGTCCCTTGAGGAAGTTAAAAACAAATGCTGCTGTCACAGGAGCCAACTTTGACAACAGTTTTTCTTTTGGGGAAATTATTTTATCTTTTCTTTCCCTCCTTCCCATTACAGCTCATCCATGTCCCCACTGGAAACTAACTGCAACTCATCCCATAAACCCAGGGAACTCTTATGGAGTTACTGTGGGGCACAAAGCTGAATTCTAGAACATTCTGATTCACTGCCTTTTATAGACAAAGAGATGGATCACACAGCTCTCCTCCTTTCCAGTCTGTAAGCTCTTTGTAAATGAGCAATGAATTAATCCGTTCACCAGCCTTGACAGGGAATTCAGCATTACTATCAAAATTTTCAGAGGGAAACTGAGGCACGGACATAGAAAGACTTATTAAATCCAGCTCTTGTGCTGTCCTGCATCCCCCCTAATCTTTAAAACATCAGAAGCTTCCTTACTCATTAGTGTTAGAGCCCCTCTGGGAAAGCCTGAATGTGCTGACAGCACAAACTACAGGAAAGCCAGTCAATGGGATGACAAAATGTAGGGACAAAAATTAAGTGCTTGATGAAGGTGCAGAAATTACAGTGGGAGACTCGAAAAAGCAAAGGAAGAAGCAGAGGGCAGGGATGAAGGGAAGGACAGGGATGGAAGGCAGAGGGGATGCTCCAACATACTCCATGCTGACAATGGAACTTGCATTCAGAGCAGTGACTGATCAGAACATGTTCCAAAATCTACATGTTTGCAGGGGGGGAAAAAAGCATCTGTGATGAACAGCACAGTCATGACACAATTCCAGACCCCGTCTTTCATTCCCATAGGGCTACAGGGAACACTCTTAAAAAATTTACTGCCATTCCACCTGTCAAGCAACATGACATGCTTTGCAGCTCTGCTCCAGACACATGATATTAACAGCACTGATCAGTCCTTTCAGTACCTGGAAAATATTTTGCTGTCTTGGATACAGGCAGAACAAACCCCAACGTGATTTTTTTGGTTAATAAAATCTACAAGACCTCATGAAGATTTAATATTAAAGAACAAATAAAACGGACAAATCCTGCCCTCTAATTATACGGTATTTGAGCCTTGCTCAAATGTGCTGCAACGGATTAAATCTGTAATTCTTTCAAAGTCACAAGCACGGGGGAGGAATCTTTGAGGGCGGCTGGAGGAGCCGAGCGATGCCGAGCCCGGCTCCTTTTCTGATCGCTGCACAATGCGCGGTTCCGCAGCTGCTCCCAAGGAAGAGCCTTGTTTCCTCGGAGCAGCGCTTAGAGGTGCTGACCATGGAGGTGTAAATACATCTGTCTTTTGCCATTTGCAGTAATACATGCCTCCTACACTTCTCCCAGCGAGGCAGATGGTCCCTGTCCTGTCGAAATCTTACACTGCACAGACTTCCAGTGCTATGTGTTTGCAGAAATATGAGGGCAGATGTTAAATATGTTAAACACACGCTTTGCCCCCTGGAGGTTTAAGTTAAGGCTGCTGTCTCAATTTGGTCATTTTAGGCATGCCAGGCTTCTTGGATCCTAGGCATTCCTCTTAAATCCCTGCTTTATAAATAACAGCTTTTCATGTTAATTTTGTGTACTTTCATCAAATATTTTGGATGCAGAACAAATGAAGGAAGCTCTCGGCTTACCGTTACAAGGCTACGTGGGCTGTGCTGAAAATTATGATCCTCATTCATGAAAACTCTATTTACACAGCAGGGTATTTCCCATGACTGTTGTTTTCCCCCCTTACATAAGCCTCATTGAGCATTTTAAATTTAATTAGTTTTAAAAATGACATAAAATGGAACAGAGACAGTTTGTGAATAGCATAATTTACCATAAAACTACAAATATGAACACTCCAAATATGTTTTAGATGTTTAAGAATAAAACATTAAATAAAATATGCAGACTTTGTACAATTGCAATAATTTTAGAAAGGTTTCTTGGCATTAAGGAAACCTTTGTGAAGAATTTCACATTAAATACAACTGTAAACCAAGAGTTTTTTTCCAAATCCTTCTTCTCACTGTTCCTATTACCTACCTCCCCTGGCAGGCCCTCAGGTGAATTTTTAATTTCTTTCTCTGCTGTGTCCCACCTGGTTCTAAGTGTCTATTCCACTTTTGGGAGCCCACATTTATATTTCTGTCCTTCAGTGGCCGTATTCTTCAAGCCAGGTTTTTGGTATTTCCCCTCTTTGAGGAACTGTGACTCCTGCCCTGTGACAACCTCCCTCTGATCCTACCTCCCTTCCCATCCTCATCCAGGATCACACCTGGATATGCTTCCAAAATTCACCTGAGCAGCAGCAAAATTTTTTTCACTCAGCTTAAACTGAGCAGAAAACTAAAAAAGCAAAAAATAAGCAACTGAAATGTGTCTGTGGAGGAAGCTAAACCTCAACATGACCCTCAAACTGTTTCTTCACTGTTTCTTAAGTTCCATTTCCAATTATCTGTGAAGTTCAGGAATTTCTCTGTGCGCTTGGGGCAGCTGCGTGTCTGTGGCTCACGTTTGGCTCAACGAGCCCCGTGAAATTCCCGTTTCACGGCAAGGCCAGGAGTGGATTGTTGGACAGACACGAAGGGATGCACACGTGCACAGCCCAGCTCCTGCCTGCCAGCACTCACACCCAGTGCACCCAGCTAGAGGGGATTTTACAGCATGTCCTGAACTCCAGCACAAACATGGGAATTACACAGGGAGAGAGGGAATATCCGTGAGCTCTCGCCTGAAAAATAATTCCCGGTTCATGAAACACAAGGGAAAATTCACTTCATGAGCAGGGTTTGAGCAAGAAAGCACTGAAGCAAGGGAGGCAGTGCCTGTGTTTGCCAAAATGCAGGAAAAGGTTAGGAAGCTGTAGGACTCACAGTTGTTTTGTCCAACCACATGCCATGCTCGGATCTACTTTCCTTAAAAATATAAAAGCCCTCTGAAAACTAATGGATCAGGTTTTTAACTGGAAAATATTCAGGAATTCAAACAACCAGAAAATGAGAGAGGAAAAATATAATCATCACACTGTAGCTTTAATTACAATAAAAGAATATTTAAAGTTTAGCAAAAGAAAAATGTCCACTGTTAGACAGTATTAATTAATTTTAAATTGCTATGGTTTACGAAGCTCATAAAATCTTAAAATATATATAGAGAAGCTTTTCCCAAAAAATACTTTGAAGTACTTTATCATGGCACATGAGAAGTAGTGTAGCTGACTCTGGAGTGGAAATCCACCCAGTCCAGAACAGTGCAACAGAGGAAAAATAAGGTCAAGAAAACAGTGGGATTAAGTTTTGCCTTTCTGCTGAACCTGGCTTACTGTCTTTCTAGCTCTGATGGTGAAAAATCGTTTCTGCTTGAAAATGTTGGAAATCAAAATAAACAAACTTGGGGAAAAAAGTAAAGCCATATTTTATTCTGATTGAATACAGCTCTGCTTATGTTTCATTCCAATTCCTGGTGTGAAAATGTCTCCTGACCCACCCAAATGAATATTCCTGAATTTACAGAGGTTTGTTTTCAGGTTGTATTTATTTATCTGACGTTTTCAGTCTCCTCTTCCTCCCAGCCCTCTTCTGCTGCTATTAAATTACATACACTGAAATTAAAATATAGAATAAAACTAATTCTCACCAATAACACAAATGATTTCCACATGAATCACAAAGGCTGAGGAAGGTTTGTGCCACTTACCCTGTGCGTTTGGTGATGGTCCCTAAGGTCATTGGCTGCTTGATTTGAGCAAGAGGCAACACCACAGTCAGACTTGGGAGAGGCAGGAGTCGAGGATTCCCAGGATTGTTGTTTGTGAAGTTATTGTAAGTGTCTTGGCTGTTCAATTTACCTTGATGGGATAGAGATGCAATAAAACACATTACTGGAAATTTTTCTTCATTTATCATTTCTACATCTGCCTGAAATAAGATAAAAAAGACCAAAAAAACCCCCAAAAAACCCATAAACAAGCTGCTGTCGTAATAAAAGAAAAAAATCTAAAAAAATAATCTTCATTTCAGATAAAGAAAAAATTAAAATGGAAGAAGCAATTACTAATTTTACATATGGGGATAAGGAAGGATTCTTTTCCATGCAAGGGAAATTATTCCTGCTGCTGCTGCTGCTTGTCTGGCAGTTTTGTTCACCGAAAAGTTTTCGAGTTCGATTTGAAGGACAAGCTCTGGATTCCAATTCTCTGTTTAAAAAAAAGGAGTAGCTGCAAGGGAATTATTTTCCTAAAGTACCACATACAGTGTTGGTAATTGGAAGTCCTGAAAAGGTCGCTTTTGTTGTCTCGACGGATAAAGACATACAGAATAATCATCTGCAGAACTAAGGCTGGAGGGAAATATCAAGTAACTATGTCAAATAAAGCCACGCCAAACTAGATGTAAAAATCAAAAAAAAGTATCAAAAAAGTAACAAATTTCATATTCATTCAAAAAGACGAAAATGAAACACAGGTACTGAAAAAAAGGAAAGGGAAAACATAACAAAAAAAGCCCTCAACAACCCTAAATTTAGCTGATTTCAAAGAGGTCTGTGCTGGATGGACGCCCAGTTTGGATACGCTTTCTTACTCGCTGTATCACTCTGTAGTCACAACCTTTCATTCTTCAGTTGGAAAAGGAAACTAGCTCCAAATTTCATGGACAGTAAAGAAAGAAATGTGAAGAAACCAAAGAAAGAAGTTAAACAAAAAAAGGGGCCAGTCTGTTTATAGCAGAATCAAAAGTACTTTAAATAGACAAGCAACCATGAATTAAAAGGTTTAGATCATTAACTTGTTTTTCTGTGTTCCTATAATGCTGTGAAACGCTGGCTTTGTTCTTAATCAAAAGGGAACCATATTGGGAATTAGGTTCCTAAACAACCGATGCATTCTACACAGATATTATACAAATCCCAGGCCAAATCCATACAATCTGCCTCAAGAGCAGCCACCTTTTTTCAAGGAAGAAAAACAGCACAGCAAAGGGTTTCTCACAGGAAGCTGCCTGAAAAGCTTTAATGGTACTTCAGATGGATTGAAAATAGGAAAAGGAAGGCGGAAAAATCTTAATGAATGTCTCATCATCCTAAAGACACTCAATGCTTCCTTCACCCTTCTTTTAATACTATATAACTGTAAGCTTGGGGGTTTTATTTGGGTTTTTTTTCTGCAAAGCCCCCAGACCTCTGCATCTCAGAGAAGCACAATAACAGAAATGATGAAATTACAAAGTGTATTTTGTGATAAGTATCTGGCCTGAGCATCCATCAATACGTTTTAAGAGAAATAGAAAGGCTTTAATGAAGAACAAGCCTATTGAAGTTCCCAGGGAGCAGATTTCATTAATAGCAATTTTCCTGCACCAACTTGGAATACAAAGAAAAAGGAAAAGGAAAAAAAAAACCCAGCTCAGTTTTAAATAAGACTGAGATGCAATTTTTTAAAAATTAGTTTAATAATACATTTTTGTTTTTTTTCAGAAAGGCATATGAATAGTTTTGTGCATTATTGTCTAATTAGTCAGTGTTCCTGCAGCCAAGGCCTCTCTGGAAGTGTCTCCCTCTCCCATATTCCCCAGGATCCACATGGGCACAGCAAACACTGACAGTATCCACTGAGGGGGCTCCAAATGTCTGTAATTTGTTTTCTATTACTTGTTCAGAATCTAACGATTAACTCTGAACTACTGAGCCACAGGCTGGGTTGGAACAGCCCCCTCTCCCCTCTCAAGGCACATTTCATGTCTCAGTGCCCTCTGCCCCCAGCTTCATGTGGTTTTCCATATGCAAAGCCTTCAGCTGATTCCATGGATTATTGCATGCAGAGAAATGAGGAATTTACAGACATCATTCCTACACAAGGATGAGCTGCTTTGCTTCCATACAAGTTGAGGACTCCCAGAGCAGTTAAGGATACTTAGAAAACTGCAGGATTATCTCATCCCTTCAGAGGTTTTTATTAATTGTAGGAACAACATCTTACAAATTCTTGAGTCTTGAGTCTATAGACTCATATATAAGGAAACAATAAACCCCCCAAAAAAGAACTAAATAAAAAAAAAGAATGAAAATGTGTAAATGTGTATTCTGAAAGGGACTAAAATATAAGATGATTCTTCTTTGAGAAAGAAACCAAAAACATCAGGAGGTCAAGCATTTAATTTGTAACTATGTATTTGGAAGTATAGCTAAATCTGATGTATGCAAACCTCAATAAAAATTAACTAAACCAGACCTCAGAACACACAGCACTTCACAGCACAAACATGATAAAAAAATTCTGCTGTGACAAATGGAAAAGCTGTAAATACCAAACATATGTCACAATAACCATTGCCTGCCAACCTGCATTTTCTGCTGCAACAGTCAGTTGCTTCACTGCAAAAAATGTAATTAAAAGTGATACTAGTCAAAAATTAAAAGTTGGAATGCTACAAAGAGGAGAGAAATTATTTTTGACAGGAAAGTTGTTCCGTAAATCTGACTAGAATAGTATTAAGATGGTGGGGATGATTAAGGTTAAAGAAAACCCCCTAATTTTCTGGTGTGCTGCTGTACCCATCCAGGAATCCCAAAAATTACCCTTTCGTTCTTCCAGCCCTTCCAAGTAGGAAACTCCTGCAGCAAACAGGAGTTGTGTGTGCACAGGGCAGTCAGATCGGGCCAAAAGAGCACAAAGAATGCAGTCAAGCATCAACATTATTTCTACAGCTCAAGCCGTTGTTGATTCACTGTCAAAGGACAAGCAACAAATAAGCCAAAGTTTAAGTCTGGTAGAAATATCCAGTGTTTTTCATCCAGCAGAATGCTGAACTCAAGTTACCTCCTGACATGTGGACAGTGCATTTAACTGTAAATGGCTGGAGACTGACACACAGAGATCTCATCCTACAGACTACTCCAGGAATGCTTTCATTGCAATCAATCATCAGCATCACAATTCCAGGGCAAACACGTCCCCTCAAGGATCATTTCCAGTGGAGCATCCTGAGCAAGGAGGCACTTTCCCTTGGTAATCACCCAGAGCCCTCAGGACCATATGCAATGCATGGGGTCAAGTATTTGTCTTTCCATGGGCTGCCATAGAGGAAATTTTCGTATCAGAGCTGTGCATGGGATACATTAAAGCCAGTCTAGGTATATCTCTTATATCTGGTATATCTCTTAAAAAATTTTCGTATCAGAGCTGTGCATGGGATACATTAAAGCCAGTCTAGGCTGGTATATCTCTTACTAATTTTACTAAGGGACTTCCAAAAAGCTGGGGATGCCATGGCTCTGGAGTCTGACAAGTTTATTTGCAAGTGCAGCCTTACCTTGGGCAAACATTGCCTACTGAGACACTGAGAACCCAGTCCATTGGGTTTGGACCTGTTTGCTGAGAGTCTGCGAAACCACCACCATCTCATCCCCCCAAAACCTGAGCCACTCTTTTCCAGACGTTTTATTCCACTGACAATCAAAGGAGAAATGGATTAAGCCGAGGATAAAAGTGAAGAAAGAAAACAACAATGGGCTTTGTTGTCAGAGGGAGGGAGCGGCCGCCGGGCCGAGCTGTATTCCCAAAGCGGCCATCACTGACAGACTCACTTCCACCGAGGAAAAAAGGGAGGCCCGCAAGTGCCGGACAAAAGAAATCCCAGCAGGCAAAGAAAAAACAAATTAAAAGCACCATTATAAAATACAGATGCTATAAGGAAAATAAACTTCACAAGATTTAGTGGGTTTTGACAAAGCTGGACATCTGTGGAAAAGCCATCAGGAGCAGCTCTCCCAGGTATGGCTGGAGAGGCTCGGGATCCCACGGCATCGCTTCCCTCCTCAACCCCTGGGCAGAGACACCCTCAGCTCTCCACAAACCTCAAATGTTGAATCTGTAAGTTGCTCTGTAGGCCTGAATATGAGATTAAAACATCTGATCAAGTCACACGTCTTAAAGTTTTCAATACGTATTTTTGGATATGAAAGGAAAGCTACATCAAGGGGGAAACATTCAAGAGTTGCAAGCTTGTAACACTGTTCAAAAAGCAATCAGTCAACTGAAAGCAATTAATACAGTTACGTGTCCTCTTCTGATCAACTAAGAGCCTTGATGAATTCAGGCCAGATTTCAAACTGGTCAGTGTTTGAGCAGAGCACTTGAGGGCACTGCTGTCAGAGATCATCTCTGAGGAGAGAGGAGGAGAAACACCCTGATTTTTGGCACTACTAATGACACAACTGGACATCAAAATGCAGCTTGGCAGGGACATTCCCCAGCCCCAAGGATTGCATTCAGCAGCAACACAGTGTGGCAAAAAGACTTTATAGGATCCTGAAAGAATGATGTGGAGGAAGCCTCTGTTACTCTGCTCTTCAGTCCACGCACAGCACCACATTAATGCAACCAAATCACTTCTTATCTGATTTCAACTGAGTTTGAATCTATCAGTACCACAAATCCCATTTGTGCATGGAAACGGAACTCCTAAATCACAGCCAAGCTTAAAACCAAAACTACACCTTCACACCTAAGGGATGCAAACACCAACTTATCAACAAACTGAAACTAAACCCTTTTACCCAAATTTCAGCATGTGTAAGACAGGTCTCCAAGTGCTGCAGAATTTTCTTTGGTGTAAAATGTCAGTGAGCAAAGCAAAGAGGGCTTGGCTCAGACAATTTTTTTTCTGGTAGGAAAGTAATGATCAGAAGGATTTTAGCTTCTCTGTACACTTTATTTGAAAAACGAAAGTGGTATCAAGCACCTCTCAGCCTTATAATAAAATGCTTCTATGTTGATTTTTTCCATTTTTCTTCCATTACTCCAATACAAAAAGCTTAGTAATGCAGTGTCATTAAAATTCAAACCCTACT